CATCAAAATCGTTGGCTGACTGTGAGAAGCATAGCAGACCAAATAAACATCCACAGAAAAACAGGAAAATCTTAACTGACAATCTTAGCATGAGAAAGGTGTGTGCAAAAATGGTCCCAAAGGTGCTCCCGCATCACGACAATGCACCAGCTCACACAGCACTGTCTGTGAGGGAGTTTTTAGTCAGTAAACAAGTATCTGTTTGGAACTCCCTCCCGACTCACCTGATCTGGCCCCCAGTGACTTTTTTCTTTACCTGGAAGATAAAGGAAATATTGAAAGGAAGACATTTTGATGACATTCAGAATATCAAGGGTAATGTGAAGAAAACTCTGATAGCCATTCCAGAAAAAGAGTTCCAAAATTGCTTTGATGGATGGACTATGCACTGGCATCATTGCATAGCTTCCCAAAGAGAGTCCTTCGAAGGTGACTGTAGTTATATTCAACGAAGAGGTAGGTAGCACTTTTTCTAGGATGAGTTTGTGAACTTAATTGTCAGATCTCATACAGGCACAGGTGCATTCTTTTTATTTTTTATTTATTTTTATTTTTTGAGTCAGAGTCTCACTCTGGCGCCTAGGCTGGAGTGCAGTGGCACGCTCACGGCCACCGCAGCCTCGATTTGCTGTGCTCAAGTGATCCTTCTGCCTCAACCTTCCAAGTAGCTGGAACTACAAGTATATGCCACCATGGCTGGCCAATTTTTTAATTTATTGTAGGGACAAGGTCTTGTCATGTTGCCCAGGCTGGTCTTGAATCCCTGAGCTCAGGTAATCCTCTTGTTACCGCCTCCCAAAGTACTGGAATCATAGGCGTGAGCCACCGTGCCCAGCACATTCTTTTTAATTTGTATAGAAATTAGATTATAATATTATTATTCTACCATGTGATTTTGTTGTTGTTGCTGTTTTGAGTCAAGGGTTTCTGTCGCCCAGGCACTGGCGCAATCGTGGCTTACCACAGCCTGAACCTTCTGGGCTCAGGTGATCCTTCTGCCTCAGCCTCCTGAGTAGCCACTCTAGTAGCTGGGAGAGTGCATGCCACCAAGTCTAGCTCATTTTTTTTTTTTTTTGTAGAGGCAAGATCTCGCTATGTTGCCCAGGCTGGTCTCAAACTCCTGGATGCAAGCAATTCACCTGCCTTGGCGTCCCAAAGTACTGGGATTACAGGTGTGAGCCACTGTGCCTGGTCCATGTGCTTTATTTATACATGAGCATCTCCTAAGGTCAGTTCATAAGAAGTTATGCCATTGTTTGGAATGCTTACTTAGGATTCCATTGAATGAGTGTCTTGTTCCCCACTGATGATTTTTTTTGTTTGTTTTTAAAATATAGGATCTCTCTCTGTCCCCAGGAGAGTCTTGAACTTCTGGTCTCAAGCCATCCTCCCACATCAGCTTTCTGAGTAGTTGGGATTCCAGGCTTGAGTCATTGCACTCAGTTTCATTTGTTTTAATTCCAAAGTTTTGCTACTATACACACTGCTGAAGTAGAGTTGTTGGTTAGGGTCCTAGGAGTGGCATTGCTCAGAGTTCGTGCTTCTTACATTTTAATAGGGACTGTCATAATACTCTCCAAATATTGAATAGTTTACAGTCCTACAAATACCTTCATCAACACCAAATATTACCAATTTGAGAAGAGAAATAAAGAAAGGACAGTTATTTAGATACAGTTTTAATTTGCATTATTTCACTATTAAAGAAGTTGAGTTTTTCTCATATACTTTTGATTTTTTTTTTGAGTTAGAGTCTCACTCTGTCGCCCAGACTGGAGTGCAGTGGCCGCTCCCAGCCACCACAGCCTCGACCTGCTGGGCTCCGGCGATCCTTCCGCCTCAGCCTTCCAAGTAGCTGGAACTACAGGCGCGCGCTACCACGCCCGGCTGATTTTTTGATTTATTGTAGAGATGAGGTCTCGCTGCCCAGGCGGGTCTCGAACCCGCGGGCTCAGGCAATCCACTCACCCCAGCCTCCCCAAAAGCGCGGGATTACAGGCTGAGCCACCGAGCCCGGCTCTCATATACTTTTCTCACGTTTATTGGCTATTTGAATTTCTTCTATGAACTACCTGCTCACATTCTGTCTGTGTATGGTTTTTTTTTTAAGATGTGGGGTATAATTCAGGACTAGGTATACAAGTGGTCATCGTACACCTAATTCTTTGTTCATTTTTCTTTTTATTTTCTTTTTGGTTTTGTTAGTTTGTCGTTGTTTTTCCTCACTCTTTCTGCCTGCCTTTTGTTCACTTCTCTACCAGATTGTTTGGGATGTATATTGATTTGTAGACGCTCTTTGTATGTTGTAGATATTAACCCTCCTCTCTATTGCGTGGCAGTTGCTTCCTAGTCTGTGGCTTATCTTTTAACTTTGTAAATGTCATTTTTCTCAGTAGTTGCAGCAGTAATAATCCTAACAGCTGAACTTTATTAAGTATGTGCAATGTGCCAGACACCATTCTAAGTGCTTTACGTGGATTATCTCATTGCATTCTTACATTATGAGGTTTCTTAAAAATGAGAAAGTTGATACTGAAAAAGTTAAGTTACTAACCTGGAGTCTCCCAGTTACTAAGCAGTAGAACCAGGGTTGGAATACTGGCAGTACTGGGATACTTCTGATTCTATAGAAGTTTTAAATTTTTTAGTAGTCAGACTTGTCCCTGTTGTTGTTGCTGTTGGTTTATCTTCTAAGTTTTGTTAGGGAAGCATTCTTCAGCATAAGATTATGAAAATATTCTTCTATTTCTTTCATAGTTGTATTTTGAATGTTAAGCTCTTTGAGCTATCTGGGACTTATTTTTAGATGTGATAGGGATTTGGTCTTCTTTCCTTCCAAATGGATTCCTAAGTGTCCCAGCAAAGCTACATTTTTAATAACGCATATATTTTCCTCTGATGTGAATGCCATCTCTAGCATACACACGATTTCCATACATACATTGATCTACCAAATTATTTTATTTTATTTTAGTTGGAGTCTCACTCTGTTGCCCAGGCTGGAGTGCAGTGGCATGCTCGAGGCCACTGCAGCCTCCACCTGATGGACTCAAGTCATCCTTCTACCTCAGTCTTCCAAGTAGCTGGAACTACAGGTGTGTGCCACCACGCCCAGCTAATTTTTTGATTTATTGTAGAGATGAACTCTTGCCATGTTGCCCAGGTTGGTGTCGAACCCATGGGCTCAGGCAATCCTCTCGCCTACTCCTCCCGAAGTGCTGGGATTACAGGCGTGAGTCACTGTGCCTGGCTATTGTTTATATATATATATATATATATATATATATATATATTTTTTTTTTTTTTTTTTTTTGAGTTGGAGTCTCACTCTGTCGCCCAGACTGGAGTGCAGTGACATGTTCC